TCACGCCAGAGTGCAGCACACGGAACAATGGACTTGAGTTCAAAGGAACCAGATTTAGACGAGACGCCAGGAGGACGTCCCTCACTGTCAGAGCAGCACGACAGAGGAGCCTCTTACGTAGGAAGTTGTGAGCTCGCCCTCGCTGGAGATGTTCAAAAAGCCTTTGGACAGCCATCTAAATGGGATGGTATAAATTGGTGTCCTGCCATCGGTTGCACCTGATGGCCTTCTGCCCCTTCCAACTCTACCATTCTATGATTCTAAGTTGAGAAGTAGCCTTTGGGGCCCCACTGTTGACCTCTCTGCTGAGAGAAGTTACAGGGCGTTCTCTCTCCATGTCCTACTTTGGAATCAGTCATGGGGACACAGGAGCCCTCTTGCTCCGTGCGAGTCTTTGAAGATGGTCTTTGTCAAAAACCTCTTGGACGACCAAGTAAACCACATCTTCTCGATTATCTTGTCCGAATGTTCATTGGCAATCGATTCAGAAAGGTTAGTGAGGCAAAGTCTTGTGAATGGCCTCCAGCAACAGAATTCTTAACAGCCCCTGGTTTTGGGTGGTGCTGCTGGGAACAAGTGTGACAAGCACAACTCTTTCTAGCACTGCAGCCTGAGGACAACCCCCCATTCCCCCCCTCCGCCCCCGACAGACAGAGGCTTGCTGCAAATTGTGCCGCTTGGCTGACAGAGGCTGCCGGCTGCCCCCTGGCAAGCAGCCATGAGGACGTGGTCTAATCGAGCCACAACGGCCAGGATCGTGGCCATTGTGGTCAGCATGCCTGAAGGGCACCAAGCTGGAGCAGCTCATTCGTTTCCAGGAATACATGGAGGGTTTGTGGCCATCTTCGTCAGCCATCGGGCAGGGATGGCTCCACTTCTCTGCCACGCCTGGCCCACCGCTCATGGCCACGCTCAGCCTGCCAGCACTCGGGGGTGCCATGAGCAAACCCACCCAGAAAGGGTGTCTGGTGGGGAGGGGGCCTTTCCTTCTGCACACGGGTGCTTCTCCCACCTCCCCAAGTAGGTTGCAGTTGTGCTTAGACTGTACCTTGCGTGCATGATAGAAATAAATCCACGCTCTGTGCTCTTTCCAACCAGGCTCCAAGTTTCAGTCCAGGCCAAGCAGGAATGAGAGGCTAAACTCGCACAGGCGGAAACAAATTCAGGCCCGGAGGGCTAGTGCCAATTCTCAGCAACTGCTTGCCAGACGTCTTTCCTGGCCTGAGGCCGCATTGCGAGAGCAGCAGGGAGACTGCTGTGGCAGAGCCAGCCCTCCAGCAGAATTCCCCCGGAGGAACCCGCTCAGTGGTCGGAGCTGAAAACGGGCTCTCCTGCCTTCCAAGCAACAGGGGGCACGTGGGAACCAGGAGGACAGGGGAGGGGCCTGAAAACACCCCCACTTCAGTCCCGAGACGGCCTCTTATTCATCTGCTCTTGTGAGGCCACCTTTCCCAAGCTGCTGCCCTCCAGATGTTTCAGAGTTCACTTGCCAGCATCCCGACCACTGGGCGTGCAGGGTGGGGCCGAGGTGCCAAGCGTCTGGTCTGCCTCAAAACGTGGGGTGTACATGGAGACGAAGGCTCCGCCACACCTCCAGAAATCAGGTGGTGGCGGGGCCCCGGAGGCGAGATGCAGGTGGGCTAATGCCTCTGGGCTCCCTCCAAGCACCCTCAAGCAGCTCCCTCTCCAGGCCCAGACGCAGGGGGAGCATCAAGCCCCCGACTCTCATCCCATGCATTGCTGGGTAAGAAGCGACAGGACAATGCTCTGGCTGAGCAGAGACCCCAAGTGTCGGGGCCCAATCTGTGGGGCTCCGCTTCCAGGCAACGCGGAGGTGGCGCCTCCTCCCTCCGTGCTCATGAGCCCCGGCTTCCACGGCCCGCCCGGGTCTGAGGCACCGCACAGGCGCCTCCGCAGCAAAGGCTGCTGCCCGCTTCAGGCCCCCGCTGGTCTGTGGTTTGCAGCACGCATGGCTTCTCCGGGGTCCTGGGTCGGGGCAGGGGCTGCTAGGGCCGCTGCGGCAGCCGTGCCTCTCCGCCGGAGTGTGGGCGCGACTGCGCGGCAGAGACAGCCAGACAGCTTTGTAACCACACAAGTTTATTTTAAATAAAATGCAAGACAGATGCAGGCTCTGCACACCAGTGTCTGATCAAACGGGCAATGCAAACGGGGAACGGATCGAGGCAGAGTCTGTGTGGCAATCTGGTCAAACAGCACGAGCGGAACCTGGCCGGGGCGCGGAGGCAGGGGCCGGGGCCCTCCCGGCAGTGGGTCCCAGTGCAACCAGCCAAACGGAGGCATGCTCACGAGGGCGCAGGGCATTCCCGGGGGCTCCCCCTTGCCCCCTCCCCCAGCCCCACAGATCCCCCAGGAGGCCCAAGCAGGAGAAGCCGCCGCAGGCTCAGTTGCTCCCCAGGCCCTCTTGGCATGTCAGGCGGCAGCGGCTCCACCTGCTCCTGGCTCAGCAGCATCATTAAAATCCCCCCCCAATAAATAAGTATCCCAAGCCCTTCCCGTCCCTGCGCCCACCCCCGGAGCGAGCTTCCAGTGCCGAGCCTGACTCTGCACCCTTCCTCCGCATCCCGGAGCGGGTGCCAGGGCCCCACTCGGCACGAACACGACAGGCAAAGTGCTAGTGAAATCCAGTACGGAAAAATATACAAAGAATTTGTCTCTCGATATAGTACAAGGGGCTGGGAGCGCTCACACCCAAGACAACTAAAACCGGAAAATGAGGAAGATGTGTCGGGGGGCCAGGGGCAGAGGGGGGGCCGGGCGTAGTGGGGCTGCCCACCTGCCCTGCCACAGGCCCCCGCGGGGCCGGGCTCCCCTTGCGGCGGCTCCCTGCCTGCTGCGCCACTGCGGGCGGCCACAGGGCCTGCGGAACAGACGGAACGCACCGTGGGCCTCTCGGGTTGGTAGAAACCTGCTATAATGTGTGACTGCAGGGCGAGGCTGCGCAACGCAGCCGCGAGTGTCCGTGGTCGGCGAGGAGCGTGGGGCGGTCTGCAATGGCGGGGCAGCGAGCGAGCGAGCAAGCGGGTGGGCGGGCGGGCGGGCCGGCCAGCACGTGAGGCCCGGCTAGTATTCGTCCTGGTCTTCCGGATGTTGCTCGTCCAGCTCGTCGTCCTCCGGAGGGGCAAAACCTTCCTGCAGCGGCACAGCGCGGGGAGAGTGAGGAAGGCCAGCCCTGGCAGCCCCAGTGGGTGAGGCCCGCCCCCCCCGGCGGCCCCCCCGCCAGCACTGACCTCTGTGGCGTACAGGATGCTGATGATGCCCGAAATGATTGGGCTGTTCTCGCTCTCGTGCTCCTGGCAGATCAGCTCGATATCGCGCAGCTTGCTGAAGTAGAAGTCGCGCTCCTTCTCCAGCCCGTCCACGGTCAGCTTCAGGTCCATCAGCTGCCCCAAAGACAACCAGCCAGCCTGAGCAGGTGAGTTGTGCCAGGTGCCAGCACGCCCCCCCCCCGGCATGGCCGGCCAGCCGGCCCACCAGCCCCCACAACCCGCCCCGAGTTGGGCCATCCCCAGAGGGGAGCTGGTGGGCTGCAGCGCTGCAGGGCCAGCATGAGGACAAGCATCCCCCCTGGTGGGGGGGGGCTCTGCTGCCAGGATGCCGGGGGGGGCATTCCCTCGCGCACCAGGACGGGCAGGCGGTGCCCGTGTGCAGGCAAAGGCCCTGCCAGGGGAGTTCGCACCGTCATTCCCCAAGGCGGGCTGCAGCTGCGGCTGCAGCGTGACGATCCCTCCAATTCTACAGGTAACACGGGCGTCGGGGGGGGGTGATTTGTTCCCTTGATCATCCTGTCTGGGCTTGGGGAAAGTTCTGTCACCAGTGCCCCAGCCTTCCTCTTGGGGTCCCTCCAGCCGCAGGAGGGGAGTGTGCCCACGCCCCGGCTCCCAGAACTGGGGTGCGGTGATCGCCCACCTGCGTGGCGGCTGACTGCCACCGCTCTGCGTCGCCTCCTTGACCGGAGGAGCGGCTTGCACCCCCCCCAGGTGGGAGGGAGCTCTTGCGCCCATGGGCAGCTGGTCCGCCGCCGTGTGAACGGATGGCTGGATGGGCAGGCCCAGTCCGACCCGGGCCTGCCCACTGTGCTGGCACAGAGGCGGTGCCTGCCGCCAACAGACGGGTGCCTCCTGGATCTGTGCCCCCTGCATGTGGGAGCGGGCAGGGCGAGCGCGACCGGCTGGGCCAGGGAGGTGGCCAGCGGGCCTGGGCGGGTTGCGGGGGTCCTGAAGGGCAGGCAGGCCTGGCTTTCCCCGCATGTGCCCATCCACGGGTTTAGGAAGGAGGCGGTTCCAGGACCCTGGAGGACAAGACCGCCAGCGCCCGTTTGCCTTCTGTCAGCGTGATAAAAGGGGGCGTTGTCTTGTCCTCCACAGGAGGTGGAGGGCGCCTTCTTTGTGCCAGAGACTGCTCTCCTGCCAGAACGGTCTCTTTCCACCTCACGCCTGGAGCGCTCGGCTGGCTGCTGTGCGCACCAGGACTGAATCCCACTGGCGTGGACAACAGTCCCGCGTGCCTCAAAGGGGCGGTGGGAGGGGCTCTCCTCCAGAAGCCCCCCTGCCCCAGAAGATCCTTAACAACTTGAGCATGTGGCAAGCATCCCCCTCCTGGGCTGAAGGCCAAAGAGGTTCGGGCCTCTTGGAGGAGAACGACAGTGTGCATCCATTTCGGTCAGGGCCGAGGTGCCGTTCTGGCACGGAGGTGGCTCTGCTCACCCGGCACCCTTTGGTCCACGCCTAGAAAGAGATGGGGAAGGGCAGCTCCCTCTGTGTGAGCTCCTGGATCGCCCAGTGGCCTTCACTACCGCTGGCTTCGGGGGGGCAGGGGCACCACACTGCAGTGGATCGGCTCCTACTGGGATGGTTGGCTCGGAAGGGGGCTCCTGGGGGAACACTGCTCGACCCCACGGACCGTCTGCCGCAGGCCCCTCGGTCTCCCGGGCTGCCCGGTGTCTGCATGAAGCCACTGAGCAGAGCTGTCCCTGTTCAGATGGCTCACAGCTCCGTTTCTCCTACCACCTTCTGCACGGGGGGCTGCGGGTGTGCCGGGCTGGTGCCTGGCTGTGGCGAGGGACTGGGTGTGCGCCAACGAGCTGGCGCTCCAGCCGTACAAGACGGAGGTGCTCTTGGCGGGGGTCCTTGCGCAGGGTGGAGGAGCAAGGCTGCAGCCCGGGCCTCTCCTCGGCCCGCCTTCGTCACTCGGAGCCAGCACGGCCTCGCCGGCCCAGGGCGCCCCTGGCCAGTCTGAGCTGGCAGTCCAGCTGCGCCCGGATCGAGGCCTGGCTGGCTGCCGCGTGCTCGGTGCGGGGCTGCCACGGAAGGCAGTCTGCAACCTGCAACTTGTGCGTAACACGACGTCCTGAGTCACAACGGGTACCGACCCTCGGAGCACGCAGCACCCATTCCAGCCTGCCTGCACTGGCATGCGCTTCCGAGCCCAATTCAAAGGGCCGGATTGAGCCCACGGAGCCCTCGGTGGCTCGGACCTGCTGAGCAGCTCTTCCCTCCACAAACCGCCTGGCCGCTGCGCTCAGCATCGGGGACCTCCCTGCCCAAGGGAGGCTTGGTGGAGGCAAGAGGCGGGGGCTTCTCTGTGGGAGTTCCCTCTCTGTGGAACGTCTGCCAGTGGGCTTGCCCGGCACCAGCTTTACTGTCCGTTCAGCGCAGGGCCAAGGCGGCTTCTCCGCAGAGGCATTTCGCAGTCGCGAGCAGCCCTGGCGACTCGGAGCTGTTTGAGGAGGACCGCTCCTGGCCGTTTAAACGGTTATTATTTGGTCTGGCATTTTTAGTGGAATTGTATGGTGTCTTTCCTGTTCTTTAAGTACCAAGTGCTACAGAAATAAAAGGGGGGAAATAAGATTAAAATGCCACGCTACCTAGAGCCCTTCGTTACTCGGGAAGCAGGAGGGAATCTGAAAGGCTCACCCTGCCCCGGGAATCCGCGGCCGTTCTCCTGCCTCTGCCCGAGGGACTGGGGACAAGGGGCTCTTTGAGTAGGGATTCCTGACCGGCTGGCAACCTACAGGTGGCCACCAACCGGGGGGGCAGGGGGTCCAACATGCCAAGCAGAGATCTTGCCTCAGCGGCACCCTGCAGCCTGCCACCCCGAGCAGGCCGGCTGTGCCTGTCTGGCCCGGCCGATCAGTCTTGTGCTCAGCGCCTGCCCGCTGGCCGGGGACCTTCCTCCCGTGGCCCATTCAGCTCGGCCCACTGACATCACGAGGGGTCAGGCTGCCCGAGGGGGGCGCTCCCCACCAGACCTGCTGGTTGAGCTCCAGGATCTGGGCGTCCGCTTCACTGCCCCCGTTCCGGGCCGACAGAGGGTTTTTCCGCACAATATTGCTGGGCGCGACATTCATCCGGACCGGGTTCTGCAGGTTCTTGGGGCCCGTTGGGGAGGTCCTCTGTGGAACTGTTTGAAGCCGGGGAGAGAGGGGGGTTACGCAGGCCTCCTCGGCCGAGGCGCCATCCCCCGTGCCAGGTGCCGCCAGGTGCACGTCGGGAGCAGTGAGGAGACTGTGAGAAGCTGCATGCTCAGCATGGGGTGGGGGGGGCAGAGGGCTGCAGGGACGCGCCCCGACTGGGCTTCCTCTTGGCTGTGCATCACACACGCAGGCGGGCGCCTGGCTCCGGCTCCCTCCACGCCAGGAGACGCAGGGCAGCGAACACCGACCCGCCACAGTGGAGGCCTTGCCTCTGCTCCCCGGCCGAGGGCAGCATGCGCCGCTCCACGCGGGGAAGGAGCCCCCAGAGTGCCCCCCCCACAGCAAAGCAAGCGCGCCCGGCTGGGAGAGCCATGCAGGGCCAGAAGGCAGTTCCCGGAGCCTGCCTGGGGCCTGCAGCCCTTTTCCGGCTGAACAGGCTGCCGCGTGTGTGGTGCCCAAGCCACCCAGGCCGCTCTGGGCCCTCCAAGTGGGGCTCCAGAGGAAGCCGCTTCCCCTCGCGTCGCACGGCCTTTGGCCGGCACTCCGGGAGCAGGTCTTGGCGGAGACCGAGTGGCAGCAGGGCAGGCAGAGACCCAGCGGGAGCTCCGAGGTGAGCAGACGGACTGCCCGGGGGACTCCAGGGGCTGTGCGGAACGGAGCTCCCCCCCCCCCCCGAGGCAGCCCTTCTGCTGGCCAAGGTCGGAAGGACAACCGATGCCCCGAGGGCTCCCTCGGGCAGCCCTCTGCCCTGAGCCACCGAGGGATGGTGCCGAGTGCTGGCGGCAACCGGCTCGATGCGATGAAGCGCCACTCCCGGGAGCTGCTGGCCGGCACGGGGCCCTCGACCCCAGCCCGTGCTTGGCCTGTGCGTGGGAGACGCGGGCCGCCCAGGGCCCGGGAGACGCGGGCCGCCCAGGGCCCAGGAGGCCCGGCCCTGGGACTCGCTGCGCAGCCTCGTGGCAGCTGCTCCCCTGCCCTGGCCCTCTGTCACAGGGACAGGAGGCAGGCGGGTGCTCCCACGGGGAACCCGGCAAGAGCCACTCTGGCGAGGGCGGCCTCTGGCTGGCTTTAGCTCCGGCCTCCTGCGGTGCGGAGCAGAGCAGAGCAGAGCAGAGCAGAGGAGAGGAGGGTGGAGGGGCTCCAGGTGGGCTCCAGCGCAGCCATCCGGGGAGGGCAGCCCTGCCTGCATGCCAGCCCCCACCCAGCGAAGCGGAGCTGCATGCCGGACCCAAGGCGGCTTCCTCCGAAGAGGTGAGCAGGACCCTCACGCGGCACTCGCCTGGCGCTTCGCTCTGCCAAGCTCCGCACGCCGCCTGGCTGCCGCGGCCCCCGCCACGCCCCGGGAGACGCCAAGCCAGGTGCCGGGAGCGGCGGTCCCCATGCGAGGGCGGTCGGGGCCGCCGGCTCCAGCAACATTACCTGCAGTGCCAAGGGGTTTCTTGGGTTTGCTGAAGATCTGATCACCTGGGTTTGGGGAGGGCACCACCTCCTGGCCTTGCCTCGCCAGGAGCGGGTTGTACTCCTTCCCGTCGTAGTTGGCGTCGAAAAACTTCTTGAACCACTGGATGAACTCAAAGTTGTCCTGGAACTTCCCCTTCACTAGCCTCTCCACCGGGATGATCTGCAGGGCACAAGTCGGGGGGGGGGGGCTCAGCTACCTGTCACGTGCACCGCCCCCTCCGTGCTCCAGAGCCGTCCGCCCCACGCATCCCGTCCCTGCAGGGAGCACGCCGCAGAGGTGCTCCCAGCGCTGTGGTGCCCACAGCCCGGGCACGGCACGGCACGGCACGGCGGGGGGTTCTCCTTCCAGGAGAGGGTGCAGCCCTGGGCAGCGAGGCCCCGAGCCCCCACCGGGAAGACGAGCGGGCGCGCGGGGCGGTTCCTTGCGCAGCCTTCGGGGTAGCCACCCTCCGGGTTCTGCGACGGCACCGGGCCTCCTCCTTGCCGAGTGGGCCCTCCAGTCGCTTTGGACTGCAGATCCCGCCCCAAAGCAGGCCGCCTGGGCCGCATCCTCAACCTCCGGAGGGCCCCACGCCTGGGGGCAGCTGCTCGGAGCACAGGCCCAAGGGCGCATGCTCAGCAGGGCTTCTGCTGGCTCAGAAGGAAGCCCCCACCTGAGCGAGCGAGTGAGCGAGCGAGCGAGCGTGTGTGCCTGGCACTGGCGTCAGGGCAGGCCCCGGCTCGCCTCCTCTCTGCTTCCCCACACGTGGGGCCGGGGCAGCGTGCAGCAGAAACCTTGCCAGGGACACTCCCGCCTGGCCGCAGCAGCGGGGCCACCCTCGCGGGGCCGGCCCAACCCCACCGGAGACACGGCGTCCGGCTGGGACGCGGCAGGGCGCCACGGCTGGCGAGTCCTGGCAAGCGAGTCCTGGGGCAGAGGGACTCTTCCCGGGGCCTTGCACCGGGGGGGGGGGGGGGCGGGCGAGAGCGCCATCCGAAGGCTGCGGCCCTGTCTGCACACAGGCGCCCGGAGCGTTGAGCGGCAGGCAGCGAACGGCGGGAGAGGACAAAGCTCTCCCTCCACCCCGGGGCGCGGGGGCCTCCCTCGCTGCCTGTGCTGCCGGGCCCTGAGGCTGACGGATCCGGATCCAGAAGGGCTAAGCTGGAGCGGCACGTCCGTCAGGCAAGAGCAGGTCCACCGGTTTGGCGCCCCAAGACGCAGCCCCGAGGGTCCTCTGGCTCTGGAAGGGCCAGCCAGGGAAGCCGGCAGCCACGGAAGGGACCGGGACCTGACACCGCAAGACCAAAGCACTGTGGGATCCGGAGCACGAGGAGAGGCGCTCTGCAGACTGCGCTCGGGCCCCTGCTCGGTGCTTGGGGGCGTTCCAGCGGGAGGCGCCAATGGCGGGCCCCAGTGAAGGGCACGGACTGAGCAGGGCCGGGGGGGCAGGTTCTCCCCCGCTGCGCAGTCGCAGGCGATCCGAGGCGCCGCCGGCTCCAGGGGTCAGGGACGGGCTGGAGCGTAACAGCAGGGGAAAGCGCCGCTCCCCACCGCCCCTGGCAATGCGGCTTGCGCCTTCGAGGTTAGGGGCAAGATGGAGGCATGCGGCAGGCGGGGCACGGGGGGGGGGGGCTTCCTTTGCAGGGCATTTTGGTGGAAGACTTCTTCAGTACCCTGAGGGAGCTGTAGGGCCAGATCCAGCCTGGGCCCTCAATCCCATTTAGAACTGTGAGATACACGGGAAAAAGCTCAGTGGCCGACTGGAGACGGGGCCGGCTGCGCCCCTTCCAGAAAGATAGCCCTGCCCGGGGAGGGGAGGGCGCCAAGGCTGAGCCCATCAAAACCCTTTCCAGTGGGTAGAATCAAAGCATCCAGAGTCGCCTTATGTCCGGATCCGGGCAGTTTTTGGCCTCACAGCACGAGGGCGCCTCCTGCCACGGCAGCTGCTGATGAGCCCGTGAGCCTGCCGGGCCTCGAGGCCGGAACGTGGCCGGCTGGTCTGGAGCCGCGTCTGTGGTTTCGGCGGCTGGTGTCAGCATGTCCCCGTGTTGCTTGGTGTCGTGCGTAGCTTCTGGGCAGAGTGACTCCGCTGTCCGTTTAAGGACCCCAACGAATCTGGTGTCGGTAGCAACGCAGTCTGCCGGGTGCACTGGAGCGCCTTGACGCTTTCCGACCAGGCATGCGCACAGTGAATGAGCACGAAGGCCGCGGGCGCTGCGCCTTTATAGCACCGCTAACGGGCACATTCAGGTATCTGTCTAATGGACTTAGGATTAGGGCTGCCACTGGCGCTAACGAGCTCTGTGGGCTGCAGGGAGGATCTGCCTGTGGAAGAGAAGATTCTGGCATCCCGACCCAGTTCGGGAACCGACCGACCGACCGACTGACCGACCTTCCATTTATTTACATTTACCAACTCTATTTATATTATGCCCCTTGAAAGGGAACTCAAGATGGTTCACGATTCTCCCCGTTCTCTGGCCCAGGGGGACAGGTTGGGCTGAGTGTGCCCAACCGGCCCGAAGCCGCCCAGGAAGCGCCACGGCCGAGCGGCGACCGGGACCCAGGCCTGCTGCGCCACAGTCCCACGCTCTCAGCTGGGGCCCCACTCTGGCTTGCCCTGCACAGTGCTCCCACCTGCCACACTTGTGGGGCCGAGCTGTGGGAGGTGCCTGTTCTGGGACTGCCGACGCAGCAGCGAGAGGGTGGTCGGGCCACCCGTACTGAGGGCGGTGTGGCCCGGAAGCAGGGAGGCGAGGGAGCCTGCCCGGGGCTCCTTTCCGTGTGGCACCGCAGCCGGGACCAGGGCCATGTGGCGCGGAGCTGCCCTCCCGAAGCGGCTGAGGGGTGTCTTCCGGGCACTCGCACTCCGAACGGGCCAGGAGGGCCCATCTCGGGCGTGCGCACAACCGACGGCCGGGCAGGGGCTCGGCCAAGCGGCGGGAAGGGCAGCCGACCAGCTGCATTCGCGCCCCGTGGTGCCGCACTGGCAGCGCCGTTCCGGTCCCGAGGACCGCAGGCGGAGCTGCGGCTGCGCCCCGAGTGGGTGCCCCAGCTGGCGGGCCATGTGGGCGGCTGCTGTGTGCAGCACCGGCCAAGCCAGTCTGCTGCTGGGGAGGCCTCCGTCCCTGGAGCCTCGCTTGCCGCAGACGCCTCGGCTCACCTCGCCCCTGGGGGGCGGGGGCCACGGCGAGGGCCGCTGCTGCAGGAGGCACTGGCTTTGGGGCTTCGTTAGCCAGCCCAGGGTGTTTTCTAGCCCGCTTGTGCCTCGATCCGGATGAGCAGAGCAGCTGAGGAACCGAAGGGGGGAAGACTCGGGAGGAGGAGGAGGAGGAGGAAAGGGACAGGCACCTGCTGGGGCCCCAGAGGAGCAGGCAGGATCCTCCTCCCACAAGGCCGAGTGCCAGGGTGCGGGGGGGGGGGCTCCCACCAAAACACCCTCCACTAGGAAGCCTCCCGAGGCCAGAGGCCACGAAGACCACCCCCACAAAGAATAGCTGGCAGCAAAAGCGGAGAGCGAGGCGCCTCCAAGCTGCTCGTCCTGAAGGCTGGGGGGGAGCTCAGAGCCCCCAACCCCGGACAGGTGAAGGCAGCAAAGCTATCGCGCATCACGCCTCCGAGGGCCACGGACCATGGTGCAGCACGAGAAGCCCCGGCGACGGACACGCCGGTGGCCCGGCCCCACTCGGCTTCCCCTGGAAGGCACACTGGGAGAGACTGGTGGGCCCCCAACATGGCGGGCTTTGCCTCAGTCCCCGGACACCTGGAGGCTCGTCAGGGCAAGGGGCGGCCAGCAGAGGCGAGCAAGTCGCCACCCATCGTCCCCCAAAGAAGAGGGCTCCGCGAGCCCCACAGCACACGCCCCACTTGCGCAAGCTGACTGCATCCAGCGAGGGGCTGCTGGCGAGCGGCTGCCAGCCGGACGGACGGACGGACGGCGGTGGGGCCAGCCTGACATGCGCCAGCCGGTCCCGCCCGTGCCGTGCCCTGCCCGTTGATGTCCAAGGCAGAGGTCCCGTGGTCAGTGCCACGAGGAGTGCTGGAGCGCCTGAGGCGAGCGTGGGACATGTCGCTGGCGCCTGCCACACATGGCTGAGGCAGAGAAAACGCGGCTCCCCAGGACACCGGCCGGCCCCCGCACTCCACCCAAGGGGCCTGGCGGGTGGGAATGAGCTCCCCCACAGAGAGACCGACAAGGCCGCAAGGGGGTGGGGGCCCCGCACAGGCGGCCGCAACGCCCCTCGGCCGAGGGGACGGCTCTGCGGACCTCCAAGGGCCGGGACTGGTTTGAGGACGAGGGGCTGAGCTGGTGGCAGCGCTGCGCTGCGCTGGAGCGACGCAGAGGAAGGGTGGCGGGGGGGGGACAGACCTCTTTGAGGCGGACGGGGGCAGACAAGGGTCATGGCGCCACTGTCAGATCCCCACTCCGTGCCCGAACCATTCACCCTCCGGTATCTTCAGGAGGCAAATGTGTTACTTGATCCCAGGCATACAGAGAGGAAAATGCAAAAAGCGACAGAGAGAAAATGATGCACAAATAAAAAACATGGAGGTGAAGAACGGTTTCACGCAAGGCCGGGCTGGGCTGCGGCAAGAGCGTGCGGCGGAGGAAGCTCTGTGGCAGCAGATGCGGGGCAGGAGCCACACCTGCTGACAAACAGGCGCCCGGCGGGTGCAGAGCCCATCAGCCTCCTCACCTGGCGCCAGGAAGTTCCAGGGCCAGTCTCTGCCAGGGCACGGAGCCCACCCGTGGGACTGCAGAAGCGGCGGGGCAGGGCAGGGCCCCCCTGACCCCCACAGAGACCCACCTTGTCCACGCCCATCTTCTTGAAGGCGGCCTGCAGCACCTTGAAGTTGTGGATGTGCTCGTGCTCCAGCTTGGCCTGGAACTTCACCTTCCGCAGGTGGACGCAGCCCGGGAACAGCATGTCCATGAACTGGCAGTAGGCGGCACCTGCGGGGCAGGGAGGCGAGGCCAGGCCTTCACCAAGCCGCCCTGCCCGGCCCCCAGTGCCCCCAGCCGCCGTGGCCGCCCCCCGGGCCCCGTACCTGAGCACAGCTGCTCGATCTTGGTGTAACTGAGCTGCAGCGAGTCGTTGACCCACGCAAGCATGTCATGGCGGCTCAGGTTCTCGCTCGTCACAGACGTGGAATACACATTGACGGCCATGCCCCAACTGCGGGAGGAGGAAAGCTCTGTCACGGCCCAGCGGGGGGGGGGGGGGGCAGGTGCGGGGCCAGCCCGTGCCCTCGGCGCTGCCGCTCGGGATCCCTGCAGGGCGTCACGAGGGCCCCTGCAGCCGAGCGCTGCACCCTCCACCCACACCCTGCTCTGGGCGAGGCTGCAGCCCGCCAGGGAAGACCGCACCCCCCGCCGTCCACGCGGCCTGCTCCAAGGGGAGGGGTGCCGGAGGGGCAAAGGGGCTCAAGAAAGGTCCAGAGGCCTCCGGGGGTGCTGGCGTTCAGCGACGGGGTGGCACGGAAGGGGAGGCAGCAACCGAGGCCAGCTGTGCCCGTGCCAGCCAGCGGCGGAAGCCAGCAGGGATGCCAGGGGGCGTCTGCCCCAGGGCAGAGGACCGCCTGGCCCCGTGGTGGCCAGAGACTGCGCCGGAGCCAGGGGCCAGGGCTTCCGCGGGGCCAGGCCTGCGCTGCTCGCCCTGTCTTTAAGGCCACGAGTCACACACGGCGGAAGGCGCCGGCCCCCTGAGCACAGTGGCAGCTGGCAAGCATGGCACGCGGACGGGGGGGCTCGGAGCCGGGGGGGGGGGCTGCCCCCGCCATGCCTCAGGTTCCCGTTCCAGCTCAGTTCGCCAGGCGATTCCAGCGGGAGGAGGGCGCCCCTGGCCGTTCCTGAAGGGAGGCCTGTCCTCCACACCAACCAGAAGGGCAGCAATGCGCCCCACAGGAATCCCCCCGGCTGCCTCGTGGCCCCGCCTCCCAGGCTGCAAGCCTCCGCCAGGCCCATGGGGGCGCTGGGCACCACGTTGCCCATGCCCGGGGGTCGGTGCAGATGCCTGCAGGGCGCAGGGTCGGCCTTCCAGGTCCCCGCCGAGCCAAGTGCCGGCGGCAAAAGCGCCCCAGGGAAGGGGACCCCTCTGCCCGCCGACCCGCCTGAGTGGCGCCAAGGAGCCTGGCAGGCCTACCCCTTCCCCTGGGCTGCGGATCTGGCCAGCCCCGCCCCACCCGCCCTGCAGCTCAGCAGGGGCTGCCGGGAAAGGGCCCAGCCCACCCCGGCCGTGTCACAAAGCCCCCACCTGCCTGGCCAATCGGGCGCGGGGCTGGCACCCCCCGGGCGCAGGCGCGGCAGGTGGCGTCCTTCCCCCTCGGGGACCGCTGCCCACCCCCCCGCTGGCCTCCCACTCCTGTGCAGCCGACTGGGGGCAGAGGGGGCAGAGGGGCAGTGGCAGGGCCCCTGTCTGGGAGAGGGCCTCACCGCACAGGGACTCTGCTTGCCCCCCCGCAGTGGGCACCAGGTGGGGGCCAGGGAGTCTACTTTGCTGGCCTGTGGGACGACCGGCGCCTTCTCCTGCCTTCCCCGGTGGGTCACGGCCGAGCCCGACCGCGGCGTGTCTGTGGGTGACGCTGGCACAGAGCGCCCCGGTTGATTCAGCTGGGCTGGCTTCCCGGGGCCATCCTCCTCCTCCAGTGGCCAGCCCGGCGGTCCCACGAAGGTCCCCTCCAGCGCGCTGGTTCTGCGAGTCCGTGCCCAGCTGCGCCCCAGCCTCCCTTTCCCCCAGTGCCCAGGCCAAACGCTCAGGCGGGCCTCCCTTCCCCTCGGCCGCTGCGGCCCAACTCGCCACCCGTCTCGCTATCGTCTGAAGGCCCTGGATGACGGAACACCTTCCGAGCAGGAGAGGGGTGCAGAGCACGTGCCCCGGGCAGGGAGGCCCACGTCTCCCCCACGCAGCAGGGTTCGGGGGGGGGAGAGAGGCGGGCAAGGGTCTCCGGAGGCAGCAGAGCGGTGCACGGCAGCCAGCCCAGCCCAGGCGCGTCTCGAATGGCCACGATCCGTCTCGCCTGGGGAGGCACCCGGTGGAAGTCTCCACCGGGAAGCACAGCACTCAGTCGCTCACGGCAGCCCAGGAGGGATGGAGGCCGAAAACCAGCGTCTTCAGCCAGGTGACCCGCACAGATCTGTTTCAACGCCTCGCGCGCGTCGTCCACATGTCCCTCCTCAGCCAGCGCAGAGCAGCGTGCCTTGCTGCCCCACGGCCCCCATCCTGCCCCGAGAGTGATCCACCAGTGGGCTGGAGTGGGCCGTGTGACTGCCAGCCAGGACACTGCGGCTGCAGACCCAAACCTCACCTGCCCCACTCCAACGCCGGCAGTTTGTCGTGCTTGACTCATCCTTCAGCTCCTTCAGCTCTTCAAGGCAGCTGCCCTTCCTTGAGATAAACACTAACCTCCCCTCATTCAGGAGATGCCTCGAAGGAGGCCCAAAACACGCTAAATGGGTGAAATAGAGGACCCCAGTCCTCTTATCAGCCGCACTGGCTCCCCATTGAAGTCCGGGCTCAATTCAAGGTGCTGGTTATCACCTACAGAGCCCTTAACGGCTTGGGACCTGGATACCTGAAGGAACGCCTGCTTCCATATTTGCCCTCCCGCCCCCTGAGATCGGCAGCAGAGGCCCTCCTCCGGGAGAGACATCAGGAGGCAAAGTACCCGGAGGAGGGCCTTCTCTGCGGTGGCGCCCCACCTGTGGAATGCGCTCCCCAGAGAGGTCCGCCTGGTGCCATCGTTATTTGTTTTTCGGCGCCAGGCTAAGACCTTTTTATTCCAGTGATATTTTAATATGTTTTAATATTGTCTTTTCTATGTTTTTAGCTGCAGCCAGCGTGGGTCAGGAATTTATTTATATTATTCATGTTGTATTTTATATTGTAAGCCATCCTGAGGCTTTTTTGCGAATAGGACGGCATATAAATATTTTAAATAAATATGAAACTCAAGGTTGCTCATTACAGGGAAGGCTTATTTTATTTGGAAGGCTTCTATGCCGCCCCATTTGCCGAAGCATTCCAGGGGTGTCATGGAACCTCTTTACTTCAAAACTCCCATTGCAGCAGCACAGAAGAGTAGAGCTGGAAGGGACCAGAAGGCCACCGGGCCCAACCCCTGCTGCTGCAGGACCTTAAGCTACACCATCCCATTTAGATGCTTTCTGAATGTCTCCAATGTGGGGAAAAGGCAAGTCAGATAAAGTGGGACGGGCGTTATAGAGATATAGCAAGTCAGAAAGGGGCTCCTGAGCCATCTAGTCTGACCCCCGGCGCCAGCCAGCTCTGCTCATGTAATCCCCAACAAGTGCTTGTCCAATCTTTCCTTGAACCCCCTCGCTGACGGGGAGTCAACCTCCCCCGGAAGCCTGTTCCACACCCTCGGGGCCCCAACCGCCAGCAAGTCCTTCCTGGCATCCAAGCTGCAGCCCGGTTCCTCGAGCTTTGCCCCACTGGAGCGCGTCTGGCCCTTCGCTGCAGGGGAGAACAGCTCAGGGCCCTCCCCCACAGGACACCCCCTCGCACCCCCAGAAGCCGCTAACAGGCCCCCTTGGGGTCTCCCCTCCTCCAGCTGGAGAGACCCCGCTCCCCCCACTCTCCTCCCAGGCCAGCCCTCCCAGCCCGGCTCCCATTCCTGTGCCCTGCGCTGGGCCGACCCCGACCTGGCAATGTCTCCCCACGATGGGGAGCCCAGAACAGGATGCGGTGCTGCAGCTGTGGGCACACCTGAGCCATGGAGAGTAGCACTGACACCTCTTTTGTTCTGGAAGCCATGCCTCTGGCTAGGCATCCAAGGGTGGTGTTTGCCTTCTTAACCGCTGCGTCACACTGCTGGCTCATGTTTAACCTACTGCTGACAGTACGCTGAGATCCCTTTCACAAGTGCTGCTCTCCAGCTACTTGTCCCCACATCGTTTACCTATGGCACCTATTCCTGAGTTCCCAGTGCAAGATCTTGTACTTATCTGCATTGAAGGCCATCCTGCTGTCCCCCACCCACTTCCACAATCTGTCCAGATGCTTTTGGAACTGGAGTACCTGCTCCCCAGTTGTGGCCAGCGCCCCACCTTGGTGTCATCTGTGAATCTGGTCAGCACACGGGTTATCCCCCTCCTCCAGGTCAATGATAAAGAGGTTGAACAGAATCAGTGCCAGAACTGAGCCCTGGGGGGCTCCACTCATAAATGGCTCCCACTGGTAGTCACCCTCTCCTTGCGGTCTGCCCACCATGACCTGATCCAACAGACATTGATCTATCCCAAAGCTCATCAACCAGGGTATCATGGGGCACTTGGTCAAAGGCCTTGCTGAAATCCAGGTAAACCATCATCCACTGCATCCCCTCCCTCTGGCCACCTCGAAACCTTGTCGTAGAATCCCACAGGGTTTGCCTGGCGGGACCTGTTTTTGCAGAAGCTGTGCTGTGTGGCTGCCAGCCTCCCTTCCCTGTCCAGCGCTTCTAGAGCTTTCCCTATGCTGAGCCTTTCCATCCTCTTTCCCAGAGTGGACATAAGGCTGACTGGCCCGGAATTCTGCATAATCCCGCTGCTATCCTTTTTGTTTTTCGGCGCCAGGCTAAGACCTTTTTATTCAAACAATATTTTAACAATGTTTAATATCTAGAGGTTTTAATGTGCAGCCAGGGTGTTTCCGGGTTTTAATTGTATTGTATTGTATTGTATTATATGTATTTCTGTGAGCCGTCCCGAGGCTATACAGCAAGGGGATGGCATATAAAAAAGTTAAATAAATAAAATAAATAATAAATACCCTTTCTGAAGACTGGGACCACTGACTCTGCCCTCCAATCCTTGGTACTTCTGATTTCCACAAGGTTGCAAAAGTGAAGGCCAATGGATGCAGGAGTACCCCCGCCAATTCCTGAGGTACCCTCAGGTGTAACCAGTCAGGGCCAGGTGCTTTTGCAATGTCCAGGGCCCTGAGGAGCTCCTCAACCTCTAGGGGAGTGGCTCTAATCTGTGCCCCCATAACCCCAGCCTCATCTGGTCCCCCAGCTTGCGCACCAAGCCTTCCGCAGAGCCTGGCTTCAAAACCATGAGGAGACCGCGAGTTCCCTCCCGGGAGAGTGACCAGTGCACACCTCGTACAATTTAAGAGATCTGGCCCAGGAGACACTCCGTATGTCCAAGGCCACAGCTGGCCGTCCCAGTGA